GGGGAGGGAAAGATGTCTTTGGTGGTGGGGTCGGATTGCAGATGGCGGAAGTGTCGGAGGATGATGTGTTGGATCCGGAGGTTGGTGGGGTGGTACGTGAGGACGAGGGGGATTCTCTTTTGGTTTTTATTGCGTGGACGGGGTGTGAGGGATGAGGTGCGGGAGATGTGGGAGACACGGTTGAGGGCGTTCTCGACCACCGAGGAGGGGAAGTTACGGTCCTTGAAAAACAAGGACAACCGAGATGTACGGGAGTGGAAGCCTCATCCTGGGAGCAGATGCGGCGGAGGCGAAGGAATTGGGAATAGGGGATAGCATTTTTGCAGGAAGGTGGGTGGGAGGAGGAGTATTCTAGGTAGCTGTGGGAGTCGGTGGGCTTGAAATGAATAAATGTGACACAATTAAGGCAGCTAAAATATATCCCACTGAGAACCAACTGGAGAGTTTAATGTCCAATGGCATCTCAACAGTCATACTAAGGATTTCTTAGACAAGGTTATAGAAAAACCTGGGAATTGAAAAACAAAAAGGGAAATTGTGAGAAGATTAATTTGAAATTTTACACAATGGTGCCATTTCCCTTCTATCAATTTTCCACCATTCTATCTTCTTTTAACTTGAGCGTAAGTTTGAAAGTGCTTCACACTCCACTCTACCTCTTCCAGTGGCCATTACCGAAAAGGAAAAAAAAAGTCAGCTGGTTATATAGCATGCGAACCATCACCGACAATCCAATTCTATCTATCTTCACCCAATGTCCACGACATTTTCAGAAAAATCACTGCACAATAATTAGAACTTACACACAGACTCTAAAATTGAATGTGGTGCTAATTTTGCAGCTACAGAGGAGCTGAGTAAACAGTGAATATCAATCCTGGGAATTTCCTCATCTATAAGACTCAGCTATTTATTTGCTGAAGTCAGTAGGGAGCTCCACATTATTTTCTAATTGACGTTCTTGTGTTTGAAATAAGATTGCTAGTTTAAGTGGCAGAAATGAAAAACTGAATTAAGAGAACTGCTATTCAGAAGAGTTTTGACATTCTTTAAAGTCAAGGTACTTCACAAAAGGTTGAGTCATAAGATAATAGCCATGGTTTTGCAGGTGGTATACTGGGCATGGATAGAGAATTGGCTATTAGGCAGGAAACAGCAAGTGGGCAAAGGGGGTTCTTTTTCAGTTTGGAAAAGTGTAATCAGTGGGGTTCCACAGGGATCAGTGCTGGGATCACAACTGTTTACAACATATGTTAATGACTTGGAGAAAGGATGTGAATGTCTTGTAGCCACATTTGCAGATGAGACAAAAATAGGTGGAAAGACAGGTTGGAAGAGGGACTCAAGCAGTTTACAGCGATATTGCTTGTCAGCATAGGGACGCCATGTTGAGGTTGTACAGGACATTGGTGAGGCCACTTTTGGAGTACCGTGTAACAATTCTGGTCACTCTGCTATAGGAAGGATATCAGGAAGGGTGGGAGAGTTCAAAACTAGCAGTCATATTCTTAAAGCGAGAGGAGAAAGATTTAAAAAGGGACCTGAGAGGCAACCTTTTTACAGAGGTTGGTTCGTATATGGAATGAGCTGCCTGAGGAAGTGGTAGATTTAGGTACAGTTACAACTTTTAAAAGAAATTTGGATAGGTATGTGAATAGGAAAGGTTTGGAGGAATATGAGCCAAACATAGGAAGGTGGGATTAGTTTAGCTTGGGGAAACTTGGTCAGCCTGGATGAGTTGGACTGAAGGATCTATTTCATGTTGTATGACTCTATGGCAGGTCAAGCAACTGGGCAAAAAGTTGGAAAATGGAATATAACGTAAGAAAATACAAGGCTGTTCATTTTGAAAACTGCAACACAGTTGGGGTACTTGTACACGACAAAATCTAGCACACAGGTGTCGCAGGTAACCAAAATGATTAATAGAATGTTGGTCCTTATTTCAAGGAGGTTGGAGTAGCGGGGAAGTCTTACTGCTACTGTACAAGGTGCTGGTGCAGGCACACCTGGAATACTGTGAGCAGTTTGGTCCTGTTATTGAAAGTATCATTTCACTGGAGGCAGTTCAGTGAAGGTTCACTAGATTGATTCCCAGTACAGAGAGTTTAACTAACAACAAAGGTTAAACAGGTTGGGATTCTACTCATTGGAGTTTAGAAGAATGAGAGGGGATCTCTTTGAAACATATAGGATTCTTAAGGAGCTTGACAGGGTAAATGCCAAGAGTCTAGGACCAGAGGGCATAGTCTCAGAATAAAGTGGTGCCAATTTAAGACTGAGGTAAGGAGGAATTTCCTCACTCAAAGGGTTGAATGCCTTTGGAACTGTTTGCCTCAGAGAGCTGTGGGGGGCAGCGTCCTTGTGTATATTTAAGGCTGAGATAGATAAATTCTTGATCAATGGGAGAAACAAGGGTTACAGGGAAAGGGCAGGAAAGTGGGTGTGAGGTATGTCTGTCAGATCAGTCATGACCCGATTGAATGGCGGAGCAGGCTCAAGGATCCCAACATCCTACTCCGGTTCCTATTTCTTATGGTCTTATTCTTCAATGGTATTTTTTGCTTCAGTTTTGCAAAAACAGAAAATTAGCAGAAATTGTTCTTATCTGGAGTTTTCCGACATAGGTGCTTTCTTAAAATAAACATGCAAGGCACATGGATTTCCAGACTGAATGGGCTGTGTGGTGAGAAAACAATTTCTTCAAGTTAGCTCGACTAATGAATTGTTTTAATACCATCTTTCAGTTATTTCCCAGTAGAACACTTGTTTTGGCAAGGCATTTGATATGAAAAGATTGAATTCTTACCTTTCCCAACATTCTTCCTAGAAAGTAGTAATGTCTGGTGAAGAGATCGCCAACCAACATTTTTGCTGCAGGATTTGGATACAGAAGCCCTTCATTTGTCGTTTTAAAAAATCCCTGGTTTGGGTTAAACCCAGTCTTGAGTAGTTCATTAAGAAATTCTCTGAATATTCCTCCACCGTCAATTCCAGCTTCATCTAAACCATGTGCGTTTAATAAGTGAACACGTATTCGTTTTCTCAGGTCAGATTCTGAAAAACAATGGGAGTAACAAAAGTTGCTCCTGAACAAGTATTGGACTAAATTGATATTTTTACAAATCACAGCCAGAAAGATGGCAGTGGTTTCAGCAATCACTGCGTAAAACTGACAGCAACCTCTCATCTGCACATGCAGTTAAACACACATCGGTGTCTAGGCTGTTTGAGGATTTCCATGTTCCTGTACCCTACCAATAGCAACGGACAAAGCCCATATCATGAGGAAAATCCCTGCCACACTGCATATCACATTTTCATGGGAGCTTTCTGTATTATTACTGCTGACAAGGAAAAAATCCAGGTTAATGTCTTATGCAGTCATGAACACATATTTAATGCATCTCATTTAAAACGACACCTTTAGAGATCAGTTGCTTCACTGTCCAAGAAAGGCATTGATGGAAGGCCCTTGCAATTTTTTTTTTTTTTTTTTTTAAATTCAACCGGCTGTAAGACGTTGAATTAACATACAACCCTCAGTCACTTTGCTGATGTCAAGATTGTCTCGAGTCAAGTTCAGCATTTAGTATTAAGTATGGCACAATCTGGTCTTTGCTGAGACAACCAGGCAGATTTATTCGAAAGAATGTGTGGTTTCATATCTAAAATAATGTTGCCTCTTCTGCAATCACTAATTACAATTAGTGTTTCTAAATAAAGGATTAAAAAAGGTACATGATGCAGGAATCAATGAAATAATTATATGCAGGCTCTGGAAGGAGCAATCTGGATTGGCTAATGGATATTTGCTTGGTTTTGATTTTTACTATTTGCTTTAAGGAGCAGATTGCATTCAAATTACACAATGCTGGCTATCAGGTTTCATTTACGGCAAAAGCAAATGATTTTTTTTGCGCAGAACTCTTTCTGCTACAAACCCTATGAATTTCTACTTAGCGCAGACAGTTTGATTTGCTGCCAGAGGACAGTTTTGCATAAAAGGTCCCAAGGGTACAAAAACATTACATTCTGAATGAATCTCAGCAATAAAAATCACTTTCCACAAATCATGTGTCTTCTAAAAGATGACCATTATTCATGCCCAACTAGGAAGGAATATCATTAGACCTTGGGTTGAAATCTAAGAATTGTCGCACTTTACTTCCCCAAAACATTATGACAAATCAATGCAATAAACTGCAACAGGGAGTGTTGAAATGGACTAATTTTAAGCTCCCTATTAACAATGCAATTTATACTACTCGTCTCTGTAGACCGCAACTGCCCTGAACACGAATACAAGATGAGCACTATAGCTGATGATTTAATAATTTCCTACTGTATGCAGTCTCCTGGAAGAGCCTTGAACCAGTGGAACTGCATTGAAAATACAACACAGAAAGTGGCCACAACAGGTCTATGTACAAATGCAAAATATTTCAAATTTTTAGCATTTGCTGTAAGAACAGAAAATGAGAAAAAGAAGAGCAGATCTGTAGCATCTGGTGACAGAGAAACAGAAAGCATGATCCTGAGCTTCCGGTGCCTGCAATTTTGAATCACCACCTTACTTGTCTCTTGGAATGTTCCACTTTCAGGATTCATTTGAGCTCAACAAGTGCCTCCATTTTCTTTTACGGACCTTGGTCATTTCCTCCTGTTCTTACTTTTTATTTTGATTTTTGAATGCAAGTTCTTCTGCCAGTCAATTTTTTTAAAATTCTTTAATTCTGGGGATCACCAGCAAGGCCACCATCTTGTATCAATCCTTAACTGCCCTCAAGAAAATGGTGGTGAACTGCCTTCTTGAACTACTGCAGTACTTGGGCTGCAGGGACACCCAGAGTGCTATTAGAAAGTTACAGGATTTTGATCCAGGGATTGTGAAGGAACATTGATGTACTTCCAATCAGAACATCAATGGAGACAGCTTTTGTCATTATCTTCTCTCATGGCCATCGCCTTCCATCAATTAACTGCTCATTTAATTTCTCTTGTTTTCCACCCCATCACAGACTACCCCACTCCCCACCCCCCCCAGCTTTATCCTGTTACCCACACTCACCCTCCCCAATCCTGGACAATGCTTAAAACCTATGAAAGTTCTACTTTTCCCTGACTTTGGTGCAACGACAGGAACTTCTCTCCCATAAATGTTGCCTAATCTGCTTAGCATTTACAATTTAATTAAGTTTAGGCCTACATTTACGCTCTGCACAAGCCTCCTGCCATCATACTTCATCTCACCCTATTAACATGTCATTTCTTCTTCTATCCATGTATCTCCTACCATGCCTGTCTTTGGGTGCATCTGCTAATGGCCTCAACTGTCAATTTGGTAGTTAGTGCCACATTCATATGGTGACAAGTTCCTCCTTAATTACTTGTTGGATTTACTGATGAGCATCTTATATTAGAGATCCCTAATTGTGAACTCCATGCAAGATGAAACAACTCTACATTTACCTTCAGCTCTGATGGAGCGTCACTGGACTTCATCGAAAGTAAATTTTTTTTTGCCCCTCCACATGCTGCCGGACCACCTGAGTTTCTCAAGCACCCACAATTCTCTCTTTTATTCTAATTTACCTTACTTAATTTTGAAATTCTAACCTTAAACAGTTCACAGGATTTAGATTAAAACAGAAATTGCTGGGAGAGAATTCTCCCTGAAGAGAAAGAAGAGTTAATAAAGAACAAAAGAGAAGTACAGCACAGGAACAGGCCCTTCGGCCCTCCAAGCCTGTGCCAATCATGCCCTGACTAAACTAAAAACACAAACCTTCTGCCCTTATTCAGTCCATATCCATCTATTCCTTCCCGGTTCATGTAACCATCCAGATGCCTCTTAAATGTCACCAATGTGCCTGCTTCCACCACCTCCTCTGGCAGTGCATTCCAGGCTCCTACTACTCTCTGCTTGATAAGCATTCCTCGCACATCTCCCCTAAAATTTTGCCCTCTGACCGTGAACCTGTGCCACTTGTAATTGTAACTTCAACCCTGGGAAAATGCTTCTGACTATCCAATCAATCGATGCCTTAATTTTGTAGACCTGTATCAGGTCTCCTCTCAGTCACCATCTTTCCAGTGAAAACAATCCAGTTTTTTTTTTAAACCTTTCCTCATAGCCAATGCCCTCAAGACCGGGCAATATCTGGGTGAAACCTTTTCTGCACTCTCTCCAAAGCTTCCATGTCCTTTGGTAATGTGGCGACAAAAGTGCACACAATATTCCAAATGCAGCCTAATAAGTGTTTCATACAGCTGCAACATGTTTTGCCAACTCTTGTATTCCATGCCTTGGCCGATGAAGGAAAGCATACCATATGCATTCTTAATCACTTTGGCCACCTGCGTTGCCAATTTTAGGGAACTGTAGACCAACATACCCAGACTCGTTGGCATATTAATATTCCTAAGGGTTCTGCCATTTACAGTATAATTCACTAATAAATTTGATCCTCCAAAATACACCACCTTGCAATGGGCTGGATTAAACTCCGTCTGCTATTTCTGTGCTCAAGTCATCCATCTATATCCTGTTGTATCCTTTCACAATCATTGGGACTATCAGCAACTCCATCAATGTTCATGTCATCTGCAAACTTACTAATCAGACCACATTTTCCTCCAGATCATTTATAGATACTACAAAAATAGAGGATCTAAGACTGATCCCTGTGGAACACCACTAGTTACCGGTCTCCATTCTGAAAGACACACTTCCAATGCTACCTTCTGTCTATGACCAAGCCAGTTTTGTATCTAACTAGCCAGCCCACCCCGAATCCAATGTGATTTTCGTTTTTGTACTAATCTGCCATGTGGGACTTTATCAAATGCCTTACTAAACTCGATATAAACTATATCCACAGCTCTTCCCTCAATTATCTTTTTCACCTCTTCAAAAAAATTGAATCAGGTTGGTGAGACATGACCTTCCCCGTACGAAACCATGCTGCCTGTCATTAACTTGTCCGTTTTCTTCCAAACGTGCATATACCCTGTCCCTCAGTATCTTCTCCAACAGCTTCCACATCACAGATGTCAGACTCACCAGCCTATAATTTCCAGGACTATCCCTGCTTCCTTTCTTAAGCAAGGGAATAACATTGGCTAATCTCCAGTCCTCTGGCACCTCAGCTCTGGTCAAAGATAATGTGAAGATATCTGCTAATGCCCCAGCTGTTTCTTCCCTTACCTCTCGCAGTAAACTGGGATAGATCCCATCTGGCCCTGGGGACTTGGGTAACTTAATGCAATTTAGGATACCCAAAACCTTCTCCTTTAATATATTGACATTCTCTAGGGTATTTACACACGCATCCCTGACCTCAACATCATTCATGTCCTTCTCCTCGGTTTTAATGTTTTTTCCGGAATTGGACCCAAAATGTTAACTCTGCTTTCTCTCCACACATGCTGCCAAACTTGCTGAGTTTTTCCAGCAATTTCTGTTTTTGTTTGTGATTTCTTTGGTTTCTTTTTTACCCCCCACAGGATTTGTGTTTAACAATCAGTAGAAAACAATTAACATAATCAGCTTATTTGTAACTTAAATATGCCACCAGCATCTGTATAATATTACTTTGTAAACAAGTTACAGCTATTTATAAACATATTAATATTAGTTTAATATTAAAAAAGAAGAACTGTGGATGCTGGAGATCTGCAACAAACAAAAACAAATTGTTGGAGAAATGCAGCAAGTCTGGCAGCATCTATAGAGAGGGAGAGAGAAAATGTTTTGAGTTCAGCAAGCCTTTGGAATTAAATTTGTATAGTTGTACAGCATTGAAACTGGGAATTCAGCCTAACAATGTTTGAGAGAAATTTGAACATACTGAAAATATTCCTCAACACAACTGCAAACTCCATCGACCAAAATATGGATAGTGCAGCAAGTATTTTCAATAGCATAACAGCAGGGTCAGGTTTGTGTAGTCACAGATTGCCATCATAATGATGGGAATAATCAGAGCTGAATTAAGTGTATTTCAGGAAGATATACTTCATGCATATAATGCTGTGCAATTTGTAACAGCACAGTCAGGGAGCCTATGGGGAGAATGTAGGGTTTAGGGCCAAGGCAGCTACAACTGCAGTGAAAAAGAGGGATAGATTTGTAGAAGCCAAAGTTGGAATAGCTGGTGGGAAAACAGTTACATGCAAAGCTATAGGAAACAAAACAGGGGAAAAAGGGGAGGTTATGGAGGAATATGCAGGGTTGTGGTTGTAAAGTAGGTCACATGTCATGGAAGGGAGCACATTTGAAAGCCAAATAAAGCATCTACACAAATTGAGTGACCCCAGAAATATTCCAAGAGTGAAACAGTGATGAGTATTTAAATAAACAACGACGCAATATCTGCCAGGACAAGAGAGGAATGGTTTCCATCAGAATACATTTCATTTGCACTATCAAGTAGAAATCTAAAATACATTCCTTCAAGGACTACCATAACAAGAAATAAACACATGCAAGTCATATTTTGATGCTTGCACATGCTAGATTGTATTTAAAAAAACACTTTGAAATGGCATTTCATTTGTCTTTCACGGGTGGAGGCATGTAAAGACTGTTTTTGATTGTGGACTGAAACGGGGAATAAAAATTTCTTAAAAAAAGTATTGTTGCACTTTTTTTTTGAAAAACAAGTAACCAGATATGCACTGATAAGTACTGCTTACACAGCTGCTTGATTAAACCGTAGCGGAAGCCTAGTTTGCAAACAAGCTGAAACTAAGATGTATACAAATGAAGCTTCAGCTGGCAACAAGTAGCTGACAATGGTGGTCTAGTGTCAATCTACTGACCAGTTATGGATGACAAAGCCCTTCTGATTGAAGCCAAACACGCAGTTGTTGGCAAAGTAGCCAAACTGTTAGGCAGAGTAAATGACAGAAAACAAAATCAGGCCTCTGGAGTATCAAGAGCTGCTTTTGCTCTGCAGTATAAAGCATCTCAAGCCTAATGACAGTCGGTTTATTCCTCTTTCCTAGTTGCTGTAAACTGTGACTCCTAATTGATCAAAGACCTTTATAAGTCACCCTGTGCCTCCTACAAACAAGTGAAAATATTTGGAGAAGGAAAGTCAAGAAGCATTATTCCAATTAGCATTAGAACCATTTCAGCAAACCCTGTAGACAAACAAACTGCTGAAGAAACTCAGCAGGTCTGGCAAAACATGTGGGAGAAAACAGAGTTAATGTTTCAACCTTAACTCTTTCTCCACCCCACAGATGCTGCCAGACCTACCAAGTTTGTTTTTGTTTCAGATCTCCAGCGTCCACGTCTTCGGGGACGACTGAAAGGCCTTCCCAGTCTCTCCCGCCACCAATCACACCCACCATATTTTCCCTGTCTGTCAGTTTGTATTGTGTGCATGCAGAGGGGAGATTTAGAAGATGATTAAAATTTCAACCAGTAGAGTTGTATGCTAACAACCCATAATTGTTTACTTGTAGCTGGACTCTATTTATGAGCAATAATTGGTAATTTTTAAGTAAAGAAACCTGATGCATGCATCTGTCAACCTGTGTCTGAAAGACAGGTAAATAAGGAATTTTGCATGCTTTTCAAAGTCTTTAACTTCTGTGACAACTCCTGGAATAGTGGGACTTGATTTCTGGCATACTCCCTCAGTGAGATGTAACACATTAAAACAAATCTAATTTATTTATACTTGAAGTAATATGGTTGTAACGGTAGGCTAAAACCCTTAAATGAAACATTTCATTCTTTCTTTCATATTTAAATATCTACTGGAAAATCACTAATGTCACCCTTGTTTAAGAAGGGAGTAAGGCAAAAGTTGGGAAATTACACAGGCCCATTAGCCTGACTTCAGTCATCGGTAAGATTTGAGTCCATTGTGAAGGATGAGATTTCTGAATAATTGGAACTGTACGGTAAAATAGGGCAAAGTCAGCATGGTTTCACCAAGCGGAGGTCATACCTGACAAATTTGTTAGAATTCTTTGAGGAGATAACAAGCAGAATAGACAAAGGACAGCCAATGGCTGTTGTCTACTTGGACTTCCAGAAAACCTCGGCAAGGTGCCACACAGGACGCTGCCGATTAAGATCGAGCCCATGGTGTTAGAGGCAAGGTACTAGCATGGATACAAGTTTAGCCGTCTGGCAGAAAGCAGAGATTGGGGATAAAAGGGCCCTTCTCAGGATGGCAGCCGGTGACGAGTGGTGTTCTGCAAGGGTCAGTGTTGGGACCACAACTTTTCACTTTATACATTAATGATCTAATGAAGGGACTGAGGGCATTCTGGCTAAGTTTGCAGATGATACAAAGATAGGTGGAGGGGCAGGTAGTTTTGAAAAGGGCGGGAAGGCTGCTGAAGGATTTAGACAGGTTAGGAGAGCAAGCAAAGAAGTGGCAGACGGAATGCAACATGGCAAAGTGTGAGGTCATGCACTTTGGCAGGAAGAATAGAGACATACACTATTTCCTAAATATTCAGAAATATGAAGTGCAACGGGATTTGGAGTCCTAAACCAGGATTCTCTTAAGGTTAACTTGCAGATTGAGTCAGTCGTTAGGAAGGAAAATACAATGTTGACATTTATTTCCATAGGACTAGAATATGAAAGCAGGGATGTTCTTCTGATGCTTTATAAAGCTCTGGTCAGACCACATTTAGAATATCAAGAGCAACTTTGGGCCCCACTTCTCAGGGAAGAGGTGCTGGCCCTGGAGCAGGTCCAGAGGTGGTTCACTGGAATGATCCCTGGAATGAAAGGCTTAATATGTGGGGAACGTTTCAGGACTATACTCAATAGAGTTTAGAAGGATGAGGAGGGACCTAATTGAAACTTAGAGAATACGGAAAAGCCTGGATAGAGTGGACGTTGGGAAAATGTTTCCATTAGCAGGAGAGATTAGGACCCGAGGACATACCTTTAAAGGGAAGGCCCTTTAGAACGGAGATAAGGAGAAATGTTTTCAGCTACAGAGTGCTGAATCTATGAAATTCATTGCCATAGAAGGCTGTGCAGGTCAGGTCACTGAGTATATTTAAGACAAGACAGATAGCTTCTCAATTGTTAAGGAGATTAAAGGTTACGGGGAGAAGGCGGGAGAATGGGGTTGAAGATCTTATCGGCCACGATTGAATGGCGGAGCAGACTTGATGGGCCGAATGGCCTAATTTCCACTCCTGTGTCTTATGGGTTTATTATTTCTGTATTTTAAGTAAAAGATGTTGCAGAATCATTTTTGATACATTACAATTGTTATCTATATCTGCACAACAGCAAAAGGACGTCAGAACAAGTAATACATTTTACAAATCCTACTTTGTACTTATGTTTATTTCCTTCCAATCAAAACGAATGAGGCTGAATAATGGCTACAAGAGCTCTAAACTTCGCTGCTGTGACTAGCAAGGCATTTCTACTCAAAGAAACAAGCCATTCAGCCAAACAAGT